GGAATGGGGACTGAGAGGGAGAAAGGAAAGCACCGAGGACCTTTTCTACCTAAGATCGAGAAGGGATCGGCTCTCCGATGGGCCGACCTCCGTGCTTTGGGCCGACTGTCTATCAGTGGTCCTGGTTGTTTTTCTTCTGATGTAGTTCAATCCTTTACCATCATACGAACCGTATTGCTCCACATAACAGTAGCCCCCACTCTCAAAACTGAAGATGAAGTTTATGATCATGTTAAGATTCATGTTTTGAGAGTACTCGCTACCCGTGGTTGTTACTTATAAGAGCGTAGACTATCCCTACAGACCAACATAAGTCCTTCCAACATGTTTTGTCCTCGCTCACATGCTTCCTAGTAAAGCAACAAGGAGGTCACCTGTCAAGCACGCTTAACTTTGGAGTTCTTACGATTAAGTTACCGAAAAGGAAAGTGCACTTTGGTAGTATAGGTAGTAATTATTATTTCTTTTAAGCTTTCTTAATCATACTTTCTATGGTCTCAGGATCCCTCTCATTCGTATGTGGTATTGATTCATTCTAGTCGAACGTTACAAGTTCACATGTGTCATTAGCTGTTGAATTCTTAGTTGACGCTAAGGTTCCTAACTCACTGAGCTTTTACAAAAAAACTTTTGTATCCAGTTTTTGGATTTAAAAGCTTGGTTTTTGCTACTGGTTGTGCATCGATGTTGTCTCATGAATTGGAAGTCTTTTCGATTTTCATGTTTTGTCAAATTGTCTAGTTATGATCAAGTCTCTAGGGCCTGGTTTCTTACCCATCTGGTTTTCACCATTCATTTTCGGCTTTGGGATCTAACTTTAGCAAAGCTAGTGTCGAAGTCTTTGGATTTCCAACCTGTTTGGCATTCGCCTAATGGTTTTATTTCCTGACCCTATTCGTATGCTTTTGTTTTGACCATGCTGAGCCTTTTCTGGCCTGCTTCTTGGTCTGTCCCTTTCTGAGGTTCTTAACCAGTGTAGATATTTACCAGTGTAAACATTTACGCACAACACCCCCTACGTGAGAAATTTGTTTTCACATAAACATAAGAGCTCAAGTATCATGTTAAATGACATAAACTTTATTAAAACGAAAATTGTTCAGGTACAATAAAATAACCAGTCGTTTGATATAAACGAGTGCAAAAGTGCTCATAAAATAAATGGAATGTGTCACCAAGCTAGAGGTAGTATATTTTGAGGTACTGGGCATGTCATGGATGAAGTAGGGTTCTTCCACGTGAATCTTCTAGGGGTGCACATAGAAACCGACGAAACCGAAAAAAATAGAAAACCGAAACCGAAACCGAACCGATTTTTCGATTTATTTAACTTCCGGTTCGGTTCGGTTTCTTAATTTGTCAAAATTGAAATATTCGGTTCGGTTTCAGTTTGGAGTTAAAAATGAAATCCCAAACCGAACCGAACCGAACCGTATCATATATATATATATATATATATATATACTATATTAAAAAGGTAGGATGTAGAAAAACATTTTTGGACACTTTTACCCTTTACTAAATTTACAAATTATGCCATTAATATATTATTACAAATATTAAATTAATTATTAATTATTAATGATCAATACTATAAATGCATGGAATATAAAAGGTTAGAATGCAAAAAGTTTTCCAACAACATAAAATTAATTTTTTCTTTAATTAAAATTCATACTAGAATTTCAAAGAGTTTTAGAATTTGAAAAGCTTTTGTAACGTTTTATCCTCTACTACTATAAAAATAGGTTTTCTTCTACATGTTTTTCACAAGTTTCAATACTTTTTTATTCTT